AATCCGTCTTTAAAGTATACTTTTCTTTCTACAACACAATGCTCGTAGTTATCCCATTCTTATCTCCTACCTTTTACTTTGAAACCCAATATTCCGTTAGTCTCGTGCCGTTCTATCGGATCTAATCTAAGAGTTAAATTTCAATTTCATACATTAACTATACTCACCTCTCTTGAATACTTATATTACATAGTTAAAATATGTAATTCTGCCTTCTTTCATACTTTAACAGATAAGTATAGTTATTTAGCATTTTAACGATACAACTATATACATATTACATATACACATATCAAACAAATGTTTAAAATAGAAGAAAAGTATTAATATCGATTAACGAATATGTGCAAGACGACGTATTGTAATCCTGACGGCGCGGCTGACGTTGAGTCGTACTACTGCTGACATTATCAGACGTCGTTCGCATGAGACGACACATTCGTGTTGATACGACTAAAAGGGATAGAACTTGCACACGTACGCATTTCCTTCATAAGGACTCTCTCCCTTCCAACCACCACTTTTCCCCATTCATCGAAAATTTAGAGACTGAAAAAAGGGTGTGTATACCATAGAGAATAAAAAAAAGGGAGAAAAGCGAAAGAGAGAAAAGTAAAAAACGATATACTATTTTCCTTTACATCTCTTCTGGCGGTATAATACCTTAACCGTTTTGTCGTGCGACATTGTGACACAGGAAGGAGGTCGGATTAAGCGCTCGAATTACGCGCCACGGGTCGGACTTTGTCCTCCTTTCTCCCCTCTCTACTCTCCCCCTCACCCTTCCCCGTTTGAGTCTTATCCTTCGTACGATCTTGGCGGTTCGGCGGAGAGCCTCCCCCGACGTCGTACTTCTTAGCTCGTAAAACCGTAAAACCGAGCCGGCTTATAAGCGTAAGCGGCTCTAATCCAACGAGCCGGTCGTAATTTAAAGGCGTTTAATATGCAACCACGAATCTATTCCGCCCATTTACCATACACCTACCCTATACTTTTTTCAACCGTGTTTTCTAATACATTCAAATACACACACACGCGTATGATTTTTTTATACGATATATATGTATATATTATGTTATTTTATGTAGGATCTATGACAGGAAGTGTATATACTAGTGTATGTATGCAATGTTTATGATGTAAATATAGCGTTAATAAAATAACAGATCATTGGTCTAAATCTTAGAATCGAAAGTATAAGATATAACAATTGTCAAATGGCCGTATATATCGATAATCGATGTATCACATGTAAATCTATGTCTCATGTGTTAAATGCGCGAGGACCTAATTTTAAATCAAATTTATATTTGTGTTGTTATAATTAAATATACAAATCGTTTCTCTTTTTATTCTTCCAAGCATATCCGGACAAGTACACGTATCAACTGTAGAAATAAATTCGATGATATAAATGAATATTTAAATCTGTTTTTTTTTTTTTTTTTAAGGGAACATCAAATAGAATTTTATACGAGTTATCGCGTATATTGCAATGATTATTATTAGAGAGAAAAAGAAAACATTTAGTAATCTCAGAAAAAAACGTGACGTGATGAAAATACGAGGGATTGCGAGTAAAGCGAAGAGGAGGAAAAAGAGGAGGAGGAGGATGAAGAAAGGATGTGCAAAGTATGCCATCGATGAGGTTACATTTTCTCAGCCGACTTCTTCTCTCTTCTGGTCCCGAACAATCCCGAAGAAAAATTGCCTTCGATATCCTTGGAAAAGAGGATACCGAAAGATTTCCTCAAGCCGTCAAAAGTCCTAGGAGTTTTGCTTGAGTTTAACGACAGTTTAACGTTGATCGACGTACCTTTCGCGATTCGAAGGGACGAGAAGGGATAGGTCGAAAAGGGACGAAAAAGGACGAGACTAGACGAGACGAGACAAGACGGCCAGCAGCAGTTCTGTTCAACTAAAGCAGGCACGAATCGCACCTCGTTCTTGTCTATTCTACTTCAAGAGATTCCCTTTAGCTATTTGTTAGTGTCAACAAGAATAAATAAATTGAAAGCTTGCGTGATTCAATATATACTATTTTCTCTCTATCAAATCTATCGAATCTATCGAGTACTAGTAGATCCTTCACGAAACAATGAAATATTACTTTTTGGCTTCATCCAGCCGACGGAAGAGGGGATGTAGGTATAGTGTTCGTCAAAAAAAAACATAATAAAGAAAAAAAAAATACAAAAAATTAATATAAAAGAGAGAACGACATAGGGGGAAAAAAAAGAAGAAAAAAAAGGAAGAAGAATAAATATCACGAAAAAAGGGAAAAAAGAAAAGAGAAAAAAAACTATTACGAATTGTAAAAAAAGAAAAAAGGGGAAGAAAAATGTTCGAAATCACGGTATATATGAATATTGTTGAAAAGTAAACAGATCCTTTCGATATTATTCCGTTAAACTTTCATGAAAAAGCTATCGAAATCGATGTTTGACCCCATAATTCCCTATAAAAGTTTACAATAAAGATCATCTCCGTATTGAGGTATTAAACGCTTTTTAAAATACGTATATATATTTTATCTGACCATATAAAATTAGCCTAAAATAAAATTACGAAAGACAAATATCCCCCCTCCCCATCCTATTATATGTATATTACGATTAAACTAAATTTTCTCGATATCATTCAAAAAGATATCCTCGTCATCGTCGTAATCATCTTAGTCGTCGTCATTTGAATTTCGTTTGTTAACGAATTTAAATCGTGAACAAACTTGTCAATTGGTTTAATTACTTACGCAACTTAATTCGGACAATGATGACGTTTCCAATAATAGGAGAATCGGTCGATTATTTCGGCAAACTTCCAATATGCCGGAAGGCATCCGTTTATGTTTACGGTTATGCTGCTACGTAGGGTAGATATATCAGCTAGCGAATAGACGATTATGAAAATAACGTTTGCCAGAGGCAACGCTAAAGATCCTAGAGAGAGAGAGAGAGAGAGAGAGAGAGTGAGAGAGAGAAAAAGAGAGAGTGAGTAAGAGAGAGAGAGAGAACTAAAGGTAACGCGTAATAATTGCTTACCACAAAGCTTTCGATCGTTCCTTCGTCTCCTTTCTTCTAACGAATGTTCCAGCTCCACTCGATATCTGACAAACGAAAGGTTAATAACGTTTCATGCAATACGATTAATCTAGCATAGATCCGATTGATTGTTCAGCTTCATATATATATATATATATGTGGGTACATATTAAGTACATACCACCAACGCAAGTATTAAAATATGTGTCATAGTACATACGTTATTAAGTTATCGCGATAAAGATTAAGCGACATATAGTTAAATATATTTATGATAATATTATACATATAAAGTGATTCATAGGAATATTCTTAGTTATCATTAATAATTTGAAACAATCGATATTTTCTTGTAATACAATATTTCCCTCAATTTTGTATACACGAAAGCATATTTTTAGGATTATTCAACTATTCATTTTGATATTAAATTTGATTGCAAAGAAAACATTACGTTATAAGAGAAGTTAAATTTGACATAAGTGATATAATTAATCTCATCGACATTCGAAGATGCTAAAAAAGTATGAATCATGTAATATTTTCGAAAATAATCATTATAATTTGCGTAGATACAAATACTTATGCGAGACTAATTTTATTATCACAGATATGTCAAATTACATTTCTTTAAGAATAAAATATTTCTCTGCAATAAAATCGATATCAATATAAAGGTTGAATAATTCTTAAAATAGGTTTTCCTATGTATAAAAATTTAAAAGCTTAGCTTTACAAAAAAATAGTAATTATTTCAAATTTATAATAGTAGCTTGTACAAATATTCCAATGTCTCACCGTTTATGTAATATACATATATTACATAAGCATATATTTATATATGCATGTATGTTACATAAATTTCATATAGCAATCGTGAAACGTTTAAGTAGCGATATATCTGTTACGGGACGTGTTACATACAGCAGGTTCCAACAATCGATTTGTTGACTGTCTAAAGAGGATCGTTGCATCTATTACGTTATATGTTGCGTTAGAGAATAAACCGTATGCGGTATAAAGACACGAAATTGCGGATACCCCTACGAACGATACGAACATGAACATACAGAGAGAGAGAGAGAGAGAGAGATAGAAGAGAGAGAGAGAGAGATAGAAGAGAGAGAGAGAGAGATAGAAGAGAGAGAGAGAGATGGAAGAGAGAGAGAGAAAGAGATAGAAGATAGAAGAGAAGAGAAGAGAAAGAGAGAGATAGAAGATAGAAGAGAAGAGAAGAGAAAGAGAGAGAAAATGTATATATGTGAGAGAGTAATAGAGAAAAGAGAGATAGAATGATAATAAAAGGCAGGAACGTGGAAAGTGGAGGGGAAGAGAAAGAGAGACAGAGATAGAAATAGAAATAGAAGAAAGAGAGGCCGTGCACCCATGGTGCATGGAAATGAAAGGTCAATAATCACACATCTAAACATCGATCAACTAAAACTAGCGATACGAACGTTCGAAGAAAATACGATGAATCACACATCGCGCATTGAAAAGTGGATCTTAATCGGTCCTTGTACATATGTACGTATGCATAACGTACGTGTTGGTGCGTTCATTGCACCGTTCGTAGTTATGTATAGATACATGTACAATAATCGTGTATGCTCACACGGAGGCTACGGGGTTAATGTAACGATTAAGGATGGTAATTGATTATTAGTATGACCGAGCGTTGTCGAATTGAGGCATTGACGACGAGAGAAGAAGAAAAAGGATAGAAGAAAAAAAAGAAACGATGATGTAGTAGTGTGATAATAAAGATAGATAAATGATTGTCAAGTATATAAAGCGATATAGTTATGTCTTTTTTTTTTTGTTTTTTTTTATTTTAATTTTTTTTTTTCAATTATGCGTGAAGTAGAAGAGAGCGAAGGGATAGGGGGGAAATTTTTAGGGCATAGAGAAAAAAATCTACAGACTAATCCTAATTGCAAACCAAACAAACGAACCAACCTCCTCGGTAAGGCCTAGTCGAAAATGTTCGCGGGACCCCTGTAACAAAAACATATATAAATCATAAAAAATCATAGACAAAAACAAAAAGAAATAACTACGTGTGACTTTCTTTTTTTTTTGTTTTTGTTTTGTTTTGTGTTTTTTTTTCTTTTATATATATATATTTCTTTTTTCTTATATTTTTTCTTTGATCAATGTTTCACTTTTTTCTTTTTCTTTTATAACAACAATAGCTTATCCTTTCGTTTTCTTTTTGTTTTTTTTTTTTCAGAAAGAACTGACACAATCGTAATTGAAAGCGCTAATTGTTAGAGAGTGAGAGTACTAAGTAGGGAATAAAAAGAGAATAAACGTTGATAGGCGGAAGGATGTCGATGACAACTCTTTTTATCAAATGCGCGTCGTATATATGTATATATATATATATATATAAATACCTACATATATATTTATATATATATATATATACACGTGTATCTTTCGGTATATGTGTTTCTTCAGAAGTGTCAAATCGAGTACTCACTCGCGTGCTTCGTTTTTAAACGATTAAAAAAGTACAAAAACAACAAATAGTATATAGTAGAAAATTTGCCTTAGCTCGTAAAACGGCGGCACGTCGTTCACGGTGAAAAGGCGAGAGGAGGCCAGGAAACGAGACGACATTGATACGATACATATACATACACAAATGTATATATATATATATATATATCCGCTTGGTGTGCTGTTCAAGCTCCTGCATCGACGCAAAATCGATTAAAACCGAAAGCTCGTGTATCGTTCGTTTGACACTCCTGCAGCCGTACTCGACTATATATTTTTTCAATGGCTATTGTCGGTCGAGCGAAAGGGGTTGACGGAAAGTGGGAGGAATGGTGAGAGAAGACCGACTAGAAAGAGAGAGAGAAAGAGATAGAGAGAAACGGGAACAGTCAAAAAGTGAGTGAAGGCAAGGGGAGGTGAAGAGGAGGTGAAAGGGAGGTGGAGGAACCGGTGGTTGGCCGGCGCGAAATAATGTTTGCACCGCAAACCCACCGGTCCCCGCGATTAGCCGCTATCGAATACGCGATTCGTAGGGACGAATGACTGCGTGAGTTTTCGAAACCAGTTCGAAAATCTCTAACGCAATGTGCCATCACCACCACTACCACTACCACCACCACCACCAATCGAAAAATCGTGCTTGTTCTATTCAAATTACCCGTGACGAATCGTATAATACGAAATTCGTCGTTATCATCTAACAAACGAAATAATTTATCGAAAATCTTTTCAAATAAAACTTCATTTTTACGTATTATAATTAAGAGAAAGGATAATGAGAAAGATAGAGAGAGAGAGAGATATTATATTTAATAAATAATAAATACTTGAGGTAACAAAGTATCTTACGATTTAGGGAAACCATCCGTTCGTAGGATAATACGCACTTTACATATGCGGGCGTATTCGAACCTAATGACGAGTACTTTGTGCAATTTGCGATGTAATTCGAAGCATGGAAATGTAGTCATCGTTATTCGAAAAGCGGAAGCTGTCTCGTTCTTCCTTCGCCCCCATCCCCACCTCTCACCTTCCCCACGTAATATAACCCGATATATCGTAATCATCTAGGTAGGTATTGTCTTTGAATCCGATAGAATTTCATGAAATAATTATTAAGAGAAGAAAATATATGAATAAAAAATGAGAAAAAAAGACCAAAAAAAAAGCAGAAAAATGAATATCCATTTCTCTAATACACAGAGACCGAACACACAACATTATCAAAAGATCAATGTTCGTTCTAGTAGAATACTTTTATTATTTCTATTTTCTTCTTTCTCTTTGGGGAAACGCACAATGTAGCAAGATAATTTAATAATTTAAAGGCAGTTCGCGATAAGGAACGATGCTGATAACGAAGCGACGAATAGCTTTTACCATATTCGTGTTACTCACATTCGTTACATTTTCGTTGTGCACGTAGAAGATTAAGTTTCTCCATCCGTTCGGCGAAGCGCTTTGTTCCTCTCGGCATTACGGTACTTCATACGCAAGAGAATATTACTATCGTTACGAGAACGGTCTATAGGTACAGAAAGAGAGAAAGAGAGAGTGAGAGAAAGAGATAGAGCAAGAGAATGCTCGTACAGACTGAAATCGATAGATAATTCCGTGTTGCGGCAAAGCTACCTTTCTGAGATAACGAGAAAGAGAGTCAAACGTACTCTTTTTATTACAGAACCTTCTACTCTTCCTTTTCCACGTGTGTATTAGAGACTAGGTATATCTGTTTATATATATTTATTTTATGAAAGTGCGTGCGTGCTTAGTCCGTCGTGCTCACTTACACACACACACACTTTCCTATCGTACTTTTAATTCCCCCTCATTTATGAAGTTTTTAAAAAAAAAAGAGAAAAAGATTATAAAAAAAGCGGAAAGATTCAACACGCGGACATATATCTTTCTTTCTCTCAATGTTAGTAATTACTACTATGATCAAACGTAATTTTATACATACATACGCCCACGCGAATGGTACTCGTAATAGTTATACGTGACTCACAACGATATCATCCCTTTTTTTTTATTTTCTTTTCGTTATGAAAAAAAAGTACGTTTGTTTTTCATCCTAATCGTTAAAGAAAGAAAGACAGATAGAGAGAATGCGAGAGAAACAATCTAATTATACAACGAGCTATGGGAAAGTTTAACGGATAAGTAAGAAACGAAATGTAATAACGTTTCACCTTGGAGACAGAGAACTTCTTATCAAGATTAGTATATATATAGGCAAAATCTGAGAATGAGAAAGAAAGAGAGAGAGAGAGAGAGAGAATTTCAGTTTGGTAACACGTGGTAGTATAAGGAAGATAGAGATAGAGAGAAAATCTTGGTTAACATCTACATTCGAAAGGATCGACTACACTGTGTGGTGAAACTGTGGCTAGAAATCTCGGACTAGAGAAAGCTCAAACCGCTTCTAGTAACGTAACAAGAACCTGAAGACATTGAGGATGGGTAGAGGAGAGAAGAAGACGAGCATAGGAAGGAAAAAAGTGAGTAAAGACGAAACTCCGGTAACAGTGTCATCTGCGACCTCCAGAACGGCCAGTAGAGAAACCTAGAGTTTCTTTCGGTAAAGTAAGCAAAGAGGGGTGAAGTGGAATCGAGTGTGGTGTGGGGTGGGCCGAAGTGTGGAGAAAGAGAACAGTAATGGCGTTGATGGTACAAATTGCTGTTAACATCCCACGATGTTAGGAGAACGAACTATAAGAATCGTATCGAGACACAACTGGATCGAGTAGGGGAAAAAGAACTTCCAGAGGACGGAGATACAGAAATAGAAAAAGAAAAAAAAAGGGTAACGGGAGGGAGGGATGTCTCATAACACTTGGGAACAGGTGGCGGCGTTTCGCCGTCTTATTGCTTTGCCTAGCGGCTGAGAAAAGTCCCGATTTTCTCTGAGCAAATTGAAAAAAGAAAAAAAAAGAAAGAAATAAATCGGACCGTTAAGGTAAGGCGCGAAACGAAACCATGCGCAAAACGGATGAAAGAATCTCGCACGATTACCTCTCGACTTTTTCCCCAACACTCCAACTTTCCTTTCCAATTTTCTCCTCTTCCTTCTTTCTTTCCTTCTTTCTTTCCTTCCAAAAATTCTTCTAAAAGAGCAATTCCTTTGTAAAGGGATAAAAGGTTCGCGCTCGATTAACTGAACGCGAATGTTTTCGTATTATTTTCCATAAGTCCCAATACAACAACGACATAACGTATTATTTTTTCGATTGAGATTACTTGCAACAAGAAATTTATTGTAAGTGTATATCTCTCTAACGACTAATCGAATACTTTGACAGAAGAGAGTGATAAAGATAGAGATAGCTAAACAAAATAATGACTATAGTATAGTAGTTTACCGAATGGCATACAATAAATTCTATATCCCTTGATTACTCGACAAACTCGTTAAACTCGTTAACAGCCGATTTCAAAGCAATATCGTGATATGAAAGCCGTGCGCCCGTACCGTTAGCGCAGGACTAATTCCCTTTTTCGCTCTAAGATGGTTTAATGTTGTAAATTCCAAGCGCGAAACTCATCGAAGGTGTTTCACGATTATCGCACAACTGCGTTTTCAAGCGTTATATATATACGATGTAGAAGAAATTACAATGTGCTCGCATTATCCGTACCAATATAAACGTCATGCAGAGCGAAAATAACTTAAATGCTTCGTTGACGAAGCTCAAATAGCAAGCAAATGATGGAATCATGAATTATATTTGCTTTCAATGTGAAAATGGGTAAAGAAAGAATGAACGAATTGAATGTCGAGTTTTTCATGAAAGAAGAAAGAAATAAGAAAAATAATAATAATAATAAGATGCGTGTGTGTCGTCGTGTCGGCAAACAAATAAAGTGCATTTCTTTACAACTAGATTTATATTCTCGTTTCAACCATCTGGAACGACATGCAAGTGCAATTTTCTTATTAAGATATACATACGTATTCTAGGGTATACAAATCAATTCACAAAATTTCTACTAGTTAGTCGCGATTCAATAGGAATAAACGAGAGAAAGATAAAGATAGAAAGAGAGAAAATATCGGGTCGGGACTTAGTTGGCTCGGCTCGTTGAGACGATTTGTGTAAAAAGAGAAAGAAAAAGAGAGAGAGAGAAGGAACTTTGGAAGCGCGCGCGATGAGCCGCTTATGGCCGCGTTCGCCACCACTTCCGGTAAGGTTAAGCACACTGAAGTCTCTTTGGCTCTTCCCACTCTCTTTGCTTTCCGTCTTTATCCTTCCGCTTGCTTCCCTTCCCTTCCATACCCTATCCTCTTCTCTTCCTTTTCTACCCCTTATACCACCACCCGAAACCCAACTCACGACCTAACATTCGAAACTGTTTTAACCTCGTGGCTTTAATCCTGCACCGGTATCTCCCGCTATCATTTTATTTCGATTCACTGTACACTCCTCTCTCGTACGTCGAGTGGCAAAGTTTTTCGATTTAGCTCGAACGAAGTGATATATAGAGAAGCTCCG